CCGGCCCCTCCTCTCCAAGGGCTCCGCTCTCTCTCGGCAGGACACCCTGCAGGGCTACAAAACCCAGAACAAGTTTCTAAACAAGGAGATCCTGGAGCTTTCGGCCTTGCGGAGGAATGCCGAGAACAGGGAGAAGGCGCTGATGGCAAAGGTCAGCCGAAGGGCAGCCCACCCTGGGACCCTCCCCATTTCCAGCAGGGGATCAGAGCCACTGAGAGGTGTCCCATTCGGGGGGAGAGGGGGGGCAGAGACCCAGTGCTTTGCTTTCCAAGCTGACCCGTCTTTCTGCCCCCCCCTCTGGGGGGGATCTGACTGCCCACGGGGCTCCCTCGGGGGGTTTAGGGGCAGCAGGATTGCTGGGGCGGGGGCTTCCCTTGGCTTTCGGGCTGCCTGGCGTTGCTGCCTGCCTCAGCCGCTCTCTCGGTGCCCCCCACAGCACACCAGCCTGGAAGCCCGGATGTGCCAGGTGGAGAGCAGGTACCTGGTTCTGCTGCAGGAGAGGAAGGGGCCCGTCTCCTCGGAGGAGCCCAACCCCAACAGCGACCTGGTGGCCCGGCTCTTGGCAGACGCCCTGCAGGTGGACAGCGGTGAGCAGCCCGAGCAGGCCTACTTCAAGCCCCACATGGTCAGGTGAGCCTCGGTCCGACCTTCGGCTTGGCCCCCCCCCCCCCACGGGAGGGGCTGAGGGAGGGAGACGTGGGCCCAAGCAGCGGCTCTCCCCAGAGCCCGGCCGTCAGCAGGGGTCAGAATGGCTGCTGGCCACTCTCGCGAAGGGGTCCTGGGCCCTCCTTCCACTGGCAGCAGCGCCTTACCCCCCCCCCCCCGGTCAAGCTGACCCATGCCCAGCTTTGTGCAGCCAGAGGATTGGCATCCCGCCCAGCGTTATCCCAGGCCGGAGTCTTTTCTGGCCCTGGACGCCAGCCGCGGCTTTCGCCATTTCCCTGGGAGGTTTTTCTGCCTCTGGTGGTTCCGGCGAGTGAGCGGCTCCCTCTCCTTCCCAGCGAGTACGACCTGTACGGCTTCCAGACGGTGCCGGAGGACGAGGCGGAGGAGGAGAGGCTGGTGGCGAAGGTGCGGGCCCTGGACCTGAAGTCCCTGTCCCTCACGGAGCACCAGGAGATGTCCACCGGCGTGAAGTGGGAGAACTTCCTGGCGGCCAGCCTGAACAGGGAGCTGGTCCGGTCGGTGGAGCTGAAGACCCTCGTCCGAGCCGGGGTCCCCCACGAGCACCGCTGCCAGATCTGGAAGTGGTGCGTGGGCCTCCACGTGAAGAAGTTCAAGGAGGGCAGCCCCCCCGGATACTTCCAGGCCCTCCTGCAGGACGCGCTGAAGAAGCAGAACCCGGCCTCCAAGCAGATTGAGCTGGACCTCCTGCGCACCCTCCCCAACAACAAGCACTACTCCTCCCCCGCCTCCGAGGGCATCCAGAAGCTGCGCAATGTCCTGCTGGCTTTTTCCTGGCGGAACCCGGACATCGGCTATTGCCAGGGGCTCAACAGGTGGGCAGCCCTTCCAGGCCAG